TTGGGCTGCCCCGAAGGGACGACGAGGGTCCTCGAGTCGGACAGGGACCTCGTCGCGGACGCGCACAGGCCGGGGACGGGGCGGGGTCGGGGCCTCGCCGTCCGGCGGGGGGCCTCGGGTGGGCGAGTCAGGAGGGGGGGAGCAGAGGAGGAGGAGGAGGAGGAGGAGGAGGGAGAGGAGGAGGAGGAGGAGGAGGAGGAGGAGGAGGAGGAGGAGGAGGAGGAGGAGGAGGAGGAGGAGGAGGAGGGGAGGGGGGGAGGGGGAGGAGGAGGAGGAGGAGGAGGAGGAGGAGGAGGAGGAGGAGGGAGGAGGAGGAGGAGGAGGAGGAGGAGGAGGAGGAGAGGAGGAGGAGGAGGAGGAGGAGGAGGAGGAGAGGAGGAGGAGGAGGAGGAGGAGGAGGAGGAGGAGGAGGAGGAAGAGAGGAGGAGGAGGAGGAGGAGGAGGAGGATAAGAAGGATGAGAGGAAGTGGGCGAGCGGTAAGAGGCAGAGGATGAGGAGGAGGAGGACGCTGAGGAGGCGGGAGAAGTGCAGCGGGAGGGGATGGGGGGCGGGAGAGCGAGAGGGAGGGCCTGATGGATGGTCACCCGCAAAGCTCTGACGGTGCGATCTCCCAGAGCTCGCAGCCCCGTCCCCAAGGCTGTTTTTCGCGGAGGACGTTCTTGGTCATGGCTCCAGGTCCCAAAGGGGGCCTCAGGACTCTGCGCTTGCAGCACGGCGCCTGTCGCTTCCTGCTCTGCTCTGACGCTGAGGCGATGTTGGGGGGATAGTGGGGGGAGGGAGGGGTGGAGGAGGAGGAGGAGGAGGAGGAGGAGGAGGAGGAGGAGGAGGAGGAGGAGGAGGAGGAGGAGGAGGACCTGTGTAAACCCAACGGGGGCATCAACGATGTTGGAGGAAACCCGCCCTCCGAGCTCCCTTTTTATATGCCCCTACAAGGGTTCATTCCCATTGATGGAACTGCCTCGTTGGAAGACAACCGTTTGAAGACCCTGAAGCATGCCAAAGCATTGTTCTCGGGATTCCAACGCCACGGATCAACCTGACTGTTGCGTCTTGACGATCCAGAATCGTGCCAGAACGCTAGTCCTGGGACTTCAACACAGCGAATCAACCTAACTGTTGCACCCGCATTTCCTGAATCCTTTCAAAGCGCCATCTCTGGTACGTTGATGCTGGGAATTCGTGAAACACATTTTGAAAAGGAGCCGCCCTCAATCCGTGAAACTTCTGGATGGTTTTAAAACACATGTGCGCCGCGCTAAGGCGAGAGCCATATTTTGAAAACGGGTGGCTCTCAATCAGTGAAGCCCTTGCATAAAAAAAAAAACCCAATGTGCGCAACGCTAACGCGAGAGCCACATTTTGACAACCACCCGCCCTCAATCCGTGAAGCTCTTGTATATTTACAACGCATGTGCGCCGCGCTAAGGCGAGAGTCACATTTTGAAAACGACCCACCCTCCATCTGTGAAGCTGCTGCCAATTTTTAAGCTTCAGAGTCATACGTGGTGAGGAAGTATCAGGCTAAAAGCCTGGCCCGCCCTACAAAACTGGCCTCGAGGTGCGACAGGGAGAGGTTATTTTATCAGGAGAAGGAGTAGAAGATGATGAGGAGGAGAAGAAGAACCAGGAGGAGGAGGAGGAGGAGGAGGAGAAGGAGGAGGAGGATGAGGAGGAGGGGGAGGATGATGAAGAGGAGGAGGAGGAGGAGGTGGAGGAGGAGGAGGAGGAGAGGAGGAGGGGAGGAGGAGGAGGAGGAGGAGGGAGGAGGAGGAGGAGGGAGGAGGAGGAGGAGGAGGAGGAGGAGGAGGAGGAGGAGGAGGAGGAGGAGGAGGAGGAGGAGGAAGCATGAGGAGGAGAAGGAGGACGAGGAGGAGGAGGAGGAACAGGAGGGAGGAGGAGGAGGAGGAGGAGCACGAGGAGGAGGAGGAAGAGGAGGAGGATAAGGGGAAGGAGGAGGAGGAGGAGGAGGAGGAGGAGGAGGAGGAGGAGGAGGAGGAGGAAGAGGAGGAGAGGCAGGAACAGGAGGAGGATGAGGAGGATGAGAAGCAGGAGGAGGAGGAGAAGGAGGAGGAGATGAGATGAGATGAGATGAGATGAGACCAATGACGAAGTCATGAAATAAGACCGGAGGCCCAGGCAACTCAGCGGACGAAGTACCCCTCGATGCCGATGCACTGCACTCCTTTCCACGCCTCCAGACTCGTAGCCGAAGGAACTCGCTCCCGACAGTGGACTGGGAGGTATTCGCCTAGAAGCTCGAAATCACGATCTTTACATCTGCTTGCAATCCGCACCCACAACATTCGACGCAGTGGGTACGGGAGGGGCAGAACTGGCCATCTCCGCCGTGGTGGCGGCGAAGTCTTGGAACAGCTCGCCCAGGATGACCGCTGCACTGATCCCAGCGCTGTAGCTGATGGTGTTGGGCTCTATCGTCGCCTTCAACTTCTCGCACTTCTCGCTGGGCTCTATCTTCGCCTTCCCATTCTCGCACGCCCTGATCCCAGCGCTGAAGCTGACGGTGTCGGGCTCTATCTTCGCCTTCCACTCCTCGCACGCGCTGTTCCCAGTGCTGTGGGTACTAATGTCTGGCTCTATCTCCGCCTTCCACTTATCGCACTTTCCACTTGGCTCTGGCTTCCCCTTCTCGCACGCCCTGGTAACAGCGCTGTAGCAGATGGTGTCGGGCTCTACCCTCGCCTTCCACTTCTCGCACGAGCTGTCCCCGTTGCTGGGGCTCGCGATGTCGGGCTCTGCCTTCGCCTGTCCCTTCTCGCACGCCCGTTCACTCCGAACGACACCAACTCGTCCAGCAGGAAACGCTCTACCACGACCATGCGGTGCAGCAGCGGCCGCCGCCGCTGCCTGCGCCGCAAGCGCAGCCGCCTGCGCCGCCTTGACCACGCGGCTCCTCGTGATCTCTTGCTGCAGCCGCCACTCCTCCTCGATGCCGTAGTCGTCGGGCTGCAGCTTCGCCTTTCCCTTCTCGCTTGCCCTGATCTCAGCGCTGTAGTTTCTGGTGTCGGGCTCGTGCGTCGCCTTCCACTTCTCGCACGCACTGATCCTAGTGTAGGGGCTAGCGATGTCGGGCTCCAGCTTCGCCTCTCCCCTCTCGTACGCCGTCCACTTCTCGCAGGTTTCGCTTGGCTCCGGCTTCCCTTTCTCGCACGCCCTGATAAAAGCGCTGTGGCCGATGGTGTCGGGCTCTATCTTCACCTTCCACTTCACGCACGCGCTGATCCAAGTATTGGGGCTAGCGCTGTCGGGCTCCAGCTTCGCCTCTCCCCTCACATACGCCTTCCACTCCTCGCACGTTCCGCTTGGCTCTGGCTTCCCCTTCTCGCATGCCTAGACCGCAGAGCTGCAGCAGATGGTGTCGGGCTCTATCTTCGCCTTCCACTTCTCGCACGCGCTGACCCCTTTGCTGCGGCTAGCGAGGCAGGGCTCTACCTTCGCCTGTCCCTTCTCGCACGCTCTGGCTCCAGCGTTGTAGCTGATGGTGTCGGGCACAATCTTCACCTTCCATTCCTCGCACGCGCTGTCCCCAGTGCTGTGACTAGCGATGTCGGGCTCTAGCTTCGCCTTCCCATTCTCGCACGCCCTGTCCCCAGCGCTGTAGCCGAAGGTGGCGGATTCGATCTCCGCCTCCCGTTTCTCGCACTCCTGCCACTGCCCGCCTGTGCTGGGCTGCCACTGCCGCTCCTCGTAAGCCCCCGCCCACGGGAGGCCCCACCAGGGCCAAGGCTGCTGGAACTGGACCGCCCAGCCGTCCACCTCGGCCTGGCGGCAGGTGGCCAGGCGGAGCCGTCGATCTGCGCGGCGGCGGCTGCTGCTCACGGCCATGAGGGGCCTCCCTCCGTCGATGGGCCCACACCACGTCGCAGCATGCAGCATCCTGACCGCGCGCACGCGCCTTCTCCGGTGCTGGGGGCTTCCCGATCGCGGGCCGGCCGCCGCGCGCCGCCGCGGGCAAGACGGCTGTGGGGCCTCGCTGAGGAGCCACCTGGGAGCAGGAGCAGGAGCAGGAGGAGGAGGAGGAGGAGGAGGAGGAGGAGGAGGAGGAGGAGGAGGCGGAGGAGGCGGAGGAGGGAGGATGAGGAGGAGGAGGAGGAGGAGGAGGAGGAGGAGGTTTCTGTGTGCGGTGTGTGTGTGTGTGTGTGTGTGTGTGTGTGCGCGTCTGGCTTTTCCCGCCCTCCCCGTCCTCGCCGTCTCGCCCGCGAGGAAGTTCTTCCAGAAGTTCGGTTCCGGCGAGGCCGTTGGGCCTGTCGCCCGGGGGCCATGCGGCGGCGGCGGCGGCGCCTCAGCCTCTTTTGGGGCGCAGGAGGCCTGCTCATCCCTCCCTGCTCCTCTCTGCTCCTCCCTTCCTTCCAGCTCCCTCCTACTTCCATTCCTCCCTCCGTCCATCTCCCTCCTCCTCCTCCTCCTCCACAATTACACAATATGACTACTACTCTCATCTCTCCCCTGAGGAAGTCCGGAAGATGTTCGGCCCCCCTGCGCATATTGTTTCTTACATGCAGGATTCCCGGGAATTGGGTTTTCTTTTTTTGGTTTGTTCAAAATGTTGCTCCCGCTGAACCGCTGGCCTCATTTTCGGGCTTCCGCTCGTTCTGAATCGTGCTCCCGCTGCAGCGCTGGCCTCATTTCCGCGCTTCCGCTCGTCCCGAATCGTGCTCTCGCTGCAGCGCTGGCCTCATTTCCGCGCTTCCGCTCGTTCCGAATCGTGCTCCCGCTGCAGCGTTGGCGTCATTATTTGCAGTGCCATGCCACGGCATGACATGCAATCTTATGTGGTGTTCCGCTGTGCGATGCCATGCCTTCAGCTGCAATGTTAGGATATGCAGTGCTTGACTACACAGTGCCACGCCATGCTATGCCATGCTACGGTTTGACCTGCAACGCCATGCTATGCCATGTTCTGTTCTGTGCCGCTGTGCGATGCCATTCTCTGCGTTGGAATGCTTTGTGATGCAATGCTTGACTACGCAACGCCACGCCATGCTATGACGTACTACGCTCTGCCGTGCTCTTCTACGCCTTGCTATGCAGTGCTCTACGATACGTCGTGCACCCTCTCGGGATCATTGCCCTGCTCGACATCCGACTGTGCGAATACAGAGGAGTTCTGCGCCATGGTAAGGGATGGGAGGGAGGGGTAGGACGTCAGATATGACGCGAGCGCACCTAGCTTGTCCTTCCCCCTCCCTCCTCCTCCTCCTCCTCCTCCTCCTCCTCCTCCTCCTCCTCCTCCTCCTCCTCCTCCTCCTCCTCCTCCTCCTCCTCCTCCTCCCCCCCTCGCCGCGTCGCCCTCCGCCCGCATCATCGACCTCGCCTTCCTGGCGCCCTTCGCCGACGCGCGGCTGGCTTTTCGGCGGCTGCGTGGGACCTCGGGACCTCCTCCCCCTCCCTTTCAAGGGGTGGCGCTCCTCGTTCCAGCCTCATTCCCCTTTGCCCCCCCGTCCATCTCCTTACTTCTCCATTCTTCGCCACCCTCCCTTATCCCCGTCCTCGTCATCACCCTTTCACCTCCTCCTCCTCCTCCTCCTCCTCCTCCTCCTCCTCCTCTCCTTCCGCCTCTTCCATCCTCTTTTTTTATCCTCCCTCCCTCGTCCCTCGTCGCAGGCCAACCCCGCCAGCTACTTCGTCGTGACTCTGTGAGTGGGCCATCGCTGCAACGTTTTTTTGTTCCCAGGCACGCTGGCGACGACTGTGCCCTGATCGCTCCATATTTAGAGGGGTTGATCTCGTCTCTACTGCATCCATCCGTATCATCAGTGTCCTCCACCCTGCAAGGCACCACGATTTCGGGCTGTAGAAGACTCATGGTACGACCACCCCAGCTCTTTGGGAGACGGGTTTGGGGCGTGGGGAAGGTGGGGAGATGCGACGAGAGCCTTGATGAGATTGTTGATGTTTATTTGCGGTGAGGCTCTTCGACTGCTGGGAGGCTTTTCTATCTAGGTCGTAACGCGAGTCTCTTAGTGTAACTTCTGCGCTGAACGTAACGTTCCAAGTTCGAGTGCTCTACGGAGCGCCGCAGAGCGGCACAGAGGCCAACAAGGGCGGAGCAGGGGGAGGAGGTGGACGCGCACAAGCTCTGCAGAGTACTACGAACTATTGCAGAGCAGCGCTGGGCTTGAGAAATGCATCCGCTGAGAGACAGGGGGGTCACGATCCGCAGGTCAGAAAGTTTTCACCGCTCGTATCGGGGCTCAGAGCATAGAGCTCAGCAGATATGCGATGAAAACAGTCGAGTCGGCCCTTGAATGAAACACCCCGCGTGGGGTCAACCTGGGGCCACGGGCCACGGGTGGAACCGAATCGGATCTTGGGCGACACACCCTACCAGAGGTGTCACGGGGGCAACGGGGCAGCCGGATCCTGTCTTGGAAGGCACACCCCTCGAGGGGGCCAATTCGGGGCAACGGGTTTTTGTCCCTCTCAAGCGAACTGACTCTTGCGATGGAGAAGCGCGCAGCAGCAATCGGGGTTCGAGAGGCTCGGGGGCAGGAGGACGAAGAACAGAACGAGGTGCTCAAGGCACGGTGGCTTCGACGACGAGACAGGGGAGGAGAAGGAGGCGGATGAGTGGGCATGTGCCGGAGGAGGAAAGAGGAGGAGGCGGAGGAGGAGGAGGCGGAGGAGGAGGAGGAGGATTGAGGATGAGGAGGAGGGAGGAGGAGGAGGAGGAGGAGGAGGAGGGCCGACGAGGACAAGGAGGGCCAGATGTCGCTTGGCGTTCGGGGCCTTCGCTCGCCCTCTCAATCTTATTCTTCCGCGCGCGCGTGCGTGCAACGTGCCGGGCGACTTCACCGATGCAGCTCGCATCGGTGCTCGCGCGATCGTTTCTCTGGATGTGTCACGCCGACATCCCAATTGGAAAGGCAAAGGGCCGCATCTGTGCATTCCTGCGAATGCCTCACTAGCTTCCGCGGCTTTGCGCGTCCTGCAAGTCTGTTTCTTTCTCTCCCTCTCTCTCTCTCTGTCTCTCTTTCTCCCTGTCCTTCAGCATTTTCCTATCACTTTCCCTCTCCTTTCCGCTCGCCATTCCTTTCTCCTTCCCTACCCCTGCGCGCTGGAAGACAGTTCTTCGGAGCCGCGCCTGGAGCCCTGGAGCTGAAGTGACTTCGGCTTGCTGCAGCCGGCGCCGGCACGGTCTGCAGAGTCGGCTTCGATCGAAGGCTCCTCCAAAGGTTTCGCTGATCGAGACCTGATTGGGTATGACAGCAAAAAGTGGCCAGGCAACAGTCCTGCAAGTGTCTGGCAGAGCTTGCTGGTTGATGGACTTCCCCACTCTTCCCGGAGAGTCGATGCGTGGGATAGGCAGGATGTGCTATGTGATTCCAGGGGCCGATGAAGATTGTCGTGATTGTCGTGCAGCGTCGCTCATAATTATCAGTTCATGCAGTTTTGCGTGTGGTTGTAATCAATATTGCTCGCTAGCTTGCACAATTTCAGGCTTGCTTGCGTTCCCTGCTTGTCTGCAAGTTTGCTGACACGCTGCGTGCTTGTATACCTGGTCGATCCCTCGTTTGCCTGTCTGTCTGCTTGCTTGTCTGATTGTCGTCTTCGTCCTTGCACGAGCCTTTGCCTGCTTGCCTGAGCTGCTCGACTGCCTCCTCCCGTCCGTGCGCACGTGCACGATCGCCTGTGTGCTTGCATATCTGCCTTTTGGTGCGAATGCGTGTGCAGTCATAGTGAGGATGGGCAACCTTCCCAAGGGTACCCTTGCATCCTTGCCTCCTCGGCCCATCCTTGGCCGCTTCCACTGGCCGCGCCCCGCCAGCAAGGTGTCGAAGTGGCCTTGCAAGGCCCTTTTGCATCCTCATCGCGCATTTTCTGATACGGGCTGACTGTATGCTTCAATATGCGCATCGAGGAGGAGGAGGAGGAGGAGGAGGAGGAGGAGGAGGAGGAGGAGGAGGAGGAGGAGGAGGGGGGAAGGAGGAGGGGGAGGAGGAGAGGAGGAGGAGGAGGAGGGGGAGGAGGAGGAGGAGGAGGAGGAGGAGGAGGAGGAGGAGGAGGAGGAGGGGGTGCAACCGAAGCCAACACGTGACGCACCCCTACAAAGGGACACCGCTCCGCCTCGTGCGCGGGACGCGCGCGTGCCCGCCCAGGCGCGGCGAAGCCGCACACGAGCTCGCCGCTCCGACCGGGGCCGAGAGATCAGGCAGAGCCTGCGCTCTCCGATCCCGGCCGTGGTGTGTGCCGGGGTCCCGGTGGTTGCCCCGACGGCTGCCCCGAGGAGGGGGGAGGAGGAGGAGGAGGAGGAGGAGGAGGAGGGGGGGGATGATGATGATGATGATGATGATGATGATGATGATGATGATGATGATGATGATGATGATGATGATGATGATGATGATGATGATGATGATGATGATGATATGATGATGATGATGATGATGATGATGATGATGATGATGATGATGATGATTGATGATGATGATGATGAGATGATGCAGGGATGATGATGAGATGATGATGATGATGATGAGGATGATGATGATGATGATGATGATGATGATGAGGATGAGGATGATTGAGATGATGATGGATGATGATGATGATGATGATGATGATGATTGATGAGATGATGATGATGATGATGATTATGATGATGATGATGATGATGATGATGATGATTATGATGATGATGATGATGATGATGATGATGATGTATGATGATGATGATGATGATGATGATGATGATGATGATGATGATGAGATGATGATGATGATGATGATGGATGATGATGATGATGCGATGATGATGATGATGATGATGATGTGATGATGATTGATGAGATGATGAGATGAATGATGATGATGATGATGATGATGATTGGATGATGATGAGATGATGATATGATGATGCTGATGATGATGATGATGATGATGATGTGATGATGATGATGACGATGATGATGAGATGATGATGAGCTGAGAGGATGATGATGATGATGATGATGATGATGAGATGATGATGTGATGATGATGATGATGATGAGATGATGATGATGATGATGATGATGATGATGATGATGATGATGATGATGATGATGATGATGATGATGATGATGATGATGATGATGACGATGAGGAGGAGGAGGAGGAGGAGGAGGAGGAGGAGGAGGAGGAGGAGGAGAGGGGGCCGAAAAGTGTCCCCAAGGAGTCCCTAGCAGGGCTCGACCAGAACTGCCCCGACGGATGTTCCGATTGTCGTCCCGATGGCTCTCCCGGTGGGTAGGTGTTCCGAGGGTGGTCCCGACGGCTGTCCCGACGGTTGTCCCGACGGCTGTGCCGATGGGTGTCTCGGTGGCCTTCCCGATGGCTTTCCTGATGGCTGTTCCGATGGTTGTCCCGATGGTTCATCCGATGGTCGTCCCGATGGTTGTCCCGATGGGTCTGCGAGGCTACGATGCCAACAATCTGCGCTCTGCGAGGCGAGAATAACCAAACAATGTGCTCTGCATACAAGCAGAGCGCCCTACGAGGCCACAGTGCGGCACAAATGAGCCCTGCGGGCAAGCATTTGGAAGTACGCCCAGTGGGCCCAAACTGACAAAACTGGGCTCTGTCGGGCCGCCTAACATACAAAAAACTAGCAAAGCTCGTCCTGCGGGACAGCACTCAGTGAAGAATCAACGAACGCCAGCGAAAGCATAATCAAGCACATATGGCACATCAATGAAAACCAATGTTGAAGCAACAACGCTCAAGACACATCAATGAACAACGAAGGAACAAGTGATTGACGCTGGGTGAGAACTCATCGACAATAATGTTTCAACAGAGGGAAATTGACTCTCCCGTGCCTTTAGCTGAAGTGTTTTCCCGACGGTTTGCCCGTTCATCATGCCGACGGTTGTCCCGATGGTTGTTTCGTTGGCTTCCCCGATGGTTGTCCCGATGGTTTCCCAGATGGATGCCCTTCTAGATCAGCAGTGGGATCGCCACGCATGTCTTTACATAGTATATAACGCACGTTTGTATGAAAACAGTGCGACCGATAGACACAGAGCGAGGCCGATTGATAGTCATATCGATTGGTAGACGATAAATGGTTGTCTTGGTGGTTGTTCCGATGGTTGTCTCGATGCCTGTGTCCATGGTTGTCCAGTTGATTGTCTCAGCGGCTGTCCCGATACACCTGGATAAGACAGATTTCAATATATCTTTTTTTCTTGTATTCCTTATATATATAACTATAGACATAGATTTGTGTGTATATATATAATATGTATATATATAAATATGTGTCTAATCTATGGTCCAGGGGTTGGGCCCCCCCTCCCATAGCTGATGGCCATTGGCCCAACCCCCGGCGATTGGTCCCCCCGCCCCCTGTGGGCGTGGCGTGGTGCTGCGCTGCGGTGCCCCCCTCCCCCCCTATGGATGTGGTGTGGTGCTGTGGTGGTTCAGAGGTGGGCGTGGCGTGGTGCTGCGCTGCGGTGCGCCCCTCCCCCCCCCCGTGGATGTGGTGTGGTGCTGTGGTGGTTAAGAGGTCGTCGTCGTCGTCGTCGTCGTCGTCCTCCTCGTCGTCCTCGTCGTCGTCGTCGTCGTCGTCGACGTCATCGTCGTCGTCGCCGTCGTCATCGTCGTCATCGTCGTCGTCGTCGCCGCCGCCGCCGGCGTCGTCGCCGCCGCAGCCGTCG